TTTTCCTCTTATCTTAGATTGTTTCAGGGGAAATTATTTGAGCTAAATTGAACTTCTATATATGTTTTTAGTATTTGTACTTCTTCATTGATTTATGGAACAAAAGAGTTTTGCTGGTCTACGAGCATGAGTTACCTATACAGTAACATTTGAGTTTTATTATATGCGTTGTTTTATAATCTGTTGCCTGGATTTGTCATGTCAAAGATAAATACATATTACATACACAGTAACATTTGAGCTTCTTTATTTACTTTTGTCGAACATACCCTGTTTGCGGGAAACACTAACACACCCTGTTTGCGGGAAACACTAACACACCCTGTTTGCGGTAACATGGAAATTTTGAGAGAATTTTGAATGAAGTCATTTTGGAGGACATATTTCAAATTATCTATGTTTTTAAGAACTAGACTAATAATAAATAGCTTGTAACCCCTTATGAAATACGTTAATCGATGGCAGTTATTTCTCTCGTACCATGGGGTTTTTAGCCACTGAGAACCCTAAAGCTACTTTATTATTCGTACAACATATCTAACTGATTAATGACACATTAGAACTCGGTTAGAACTATCACTCGGAGAATACATGATCAACTTTTATGTTTAATTTCAAAAAGTTATCTTTAACTATTTTAATTCCGCAAAACTCTCGCACTTCTAGGGGTTATGAATATAAACCTTGAACTTCATTTACTACACTGAATCCCTTGAATTTTTTTTTTCATTTAAACTAACCAGATTAACATTGTCAAATCTAATGTGTCATGTGTCATGTGTGGAGCGCATGACCAAAAAACTTGAAAATATCATTAGTCGTCAAAAAATTGATGGAAGTGATAAAAAGGATGAAAAGGTAATTTTTCAGGACTAGCTAGCTAGGAGATATTTTTTGGTTTTGGTCAAATCAGGGCACACGACACACATTAGACCTGATGATGTTAATTAATTTAGGGATTAAAGTGAAAAATTCTCAAGGATTTTAGTGGAATAAAAGTTGTTACAGAGTTGTATGTGAACCCCATCATCAAGGTTTAGGTGGTTCTGCGGAGTTGTGATAGTTAAAGGGCTCATCTGCAAAGCCCCAAAGTTTTGGGCGTTTTCTGCAACTACCTAAGCTTTCTTTTCGAAAAAAATAGGGGAAGAGAGAAACACGTTGTGTTTGCTAAAAAGCGAGTAATATTGATGCTCATGATTACAAGTACGTACGGTGAGTACGACTGCAATAATGGCAAAGTAGTAGCGAAAATATTAGGAAAGTATACGTAGCAAGTAGGCTACAAACATGGAGGAGTATATTAGGAAACGCGTCAGTCGAGATCTGAGACGATTTCAATCAGCAGTCAAAATAATTAAGTCCTTGATCAACAAGAAAACTGGGATTAATCCAAATCCTACTCCCAACACAAGTCTTTACATTCATCCGCACTTATAAATTAGCCTCCCAATCCGACAGCACGAAAACATACAAAACCGAAAATTACCAAACTTGTCCCTCTCTAAAATCCCATGGAAGCACTGAGAAGCATCGAAAACCAGCAGCCAACGTACGGTTGTAAGCGCTGCGGCGAAANTCAAGCAGCAGCAGCAGCAGCAGCAGCAGCGAGGGAAGCGTTCAGTACGCGCAATGAACAACCTGTACTAACCATCAACTCATCACGACGAAAAATACAAGAAGAAGAACTTGGGAACCTGCACCAACAGGGTCCAAGCGGTGTCTGCCTCTTCTGCTTGAAACGGGCACAGCTGAAACTGCACTTGGATAGCTCGAGGATCCTTGCGGCGTCCGCGATCAAAAAGGTGCGGCGAGGAAAACTGGCGGTGAAGCGAGGTGGTGGTCCTTTCGAAGAGAGGAGTTTAAACAGTAGTACGGCGGATGCTAGCTGCAGCACTGGTGAAGCTCCGGGGACAAATGAGAAGAAGGCGGTTTCAGTTGAAGAGGGAGGTCGTGGCAAAGGGGAGGTTGATCTTACTTTAAGATTGTGGCCAGTAGGATATAATTGATGTTTAGACGTTACTGCTTTTGGGCATTTTCCCTCTTATTTTGGTTTTGTTTTAGAGGAAATTTGAGCTCAACTAAACCATCGTGTTTTTCTACGCTTTTTCGTTTTTCCCCTTCCTTTTTCGCTGGGATTTGTAATTATTTATTGATCTATGGAACAAAGTAGTTTTGTTGCTCTCCAATGATAGATTTCTTCTACTCTAAAATGTTTTGTGTTAAATCGATAACTTTCTGGTCTGTAATATTTTGCTTGTGATTGTCGTTGACTTTTTCCTTAGAAACCGCCTTTAAAATAAGGTGATTATACGAAAATCAACTTTCATGTTTAATTTATACAGAAACCACAATGGGGGTTTTGTTGCAATCAACCACTTGCTCGTAAAAATTCACACTAAAAACCTAAAGTTATCCTTTGAAAACTCACATTCAAGACACATGACTTATTTTTTATATTTAGCTTTTGTTAGGATTACAACTCATGTATTTTGAACTTGAAGTTTTTACTGTTATTTATGATTTTTAGCGAAAATTTGAATAGGAAGTGGTTGATTTCAAAACAAATGCACTTTCAAGATGGTTTATGTATAAATTGAAAATAAAATATGGTTTTCACATAATTATACTATTTTTAAAGTGGGTTCTAAGGAAACACCCAAAATATAACTCATGTACACAGTAGCTTCTAGGTTTTGCATGAGTTTGAACAAACTACAAGTAAGCGGTAAACCACGAACCTAATTTTGATATTCTCCACTGTTAAAAAAAATAGAAAACCACGAACTGTCAACTAATTAGGGGATGATAGTGGATGGTTTTGTTTTTTGCTTTTTTTTTTAAAATATAATACTTACCATACTTCTATGAATTGTATTAATTTCTAGTTTGCAATTCAGAAGATGAATCATAACAATCTATTCAACAATCATTAGTAGAAAAACACCATTGGTGACAGATCATCAATGAAGGGATACCAATCCATTGCCAGTGTTGACATTGGTGATGGGTAATGGGCTGTCACCGATGGTCCGTTATCGATGTGCATATCAATTGGCGACGGGGCCAATATTTTTTGTCATTTTTGTACATAAGCGGCGGGAGTTCCTTCTCCTTTGTTGGTAGGCCCCAAAAATAGCCTCTCAATTCTTTTATAGTAGAAAAGATCTATGAGTCTTACACTAGCTTAATATCCAATTCATGCGGTACTAAAATTTTGGAAAATAAAAATAATTAACTAACAATTATTTGCAAACAAATCCACCACCCCACCCCCCATCCCCCAAAAAAAATAATATTAGAGAGAATGAAAATGGAATATTTTAGGCTCCAGGTGAGTTTTCACCATTGGGTTAATGTGATAACAGTTTTTGGTGTTTCCATAGAAAAACGAAGCAGCGGAAGGTTTGGTGGAGAACACCCTATGGCCTCGTTTGGCAAAGGGTTATGGAAGAGGGGTTAAAGAGAAGCATTAATATACTTAGCCCATTCGATAATTTGAAGGACTAAATTATTAACCCGTTAAATATGTTTTATTTTAGCCATTGTGATCAGTTTTAGTGTTTGGGAATAACAATGATTGTGACTATTTTCTTTCTAATTAGAAGGGTTAACTCTTAATCCTTTGAAATAGGAGTATTAATAAACCCTTTATTTTGAGGTGTTAACTCATTTTAATCCCTCTAGAGGGGTTAGCTTAACCCTTCTATATTTTTTATACTTGGCAAATTATGAAGAGTTAACCCACTTTAACCCTTGTATAGATTTTTTATGTTTGGCGGGTTAAGAAGGGGTTAAGTCTCCTTAACCTCATACTTAACCCTTTGCCAAACTGTACCTAAAGTATTGGGAAATTCTACGAGATTTAGGGGTGTGCAACGGTCGGTTCGGTTCGGTTTTTACCAAAATTTGAACAACCGAACCGAACCATCTATAATTCAAAACCGAACCGAACTGTTGCAAGTCGGTTCGGTGCGATTCGATTCGGTTTATTCGGTTCTAACTTCATCAAACTTCTTATCAAACAACAAACCGTGTTAAAGAAAAAATGATATCAACAAAGTAGGAGATTATGAAGCATTAAACACTGATATAATGATATTATTTTTAACCCATAATGATTCAGAAAATGAGTTTAGGGTTTGATTCTTTGACTATTTGGGGACGGGTCGGGTAGGGTTTAAGATCAGAATTGGTAGTATTGCACTATATTCGGTCGGTTCTGGTCGGTTCGGGTTAAAAACTTTTCAAACCGACTCGAACCACCCTACTCATAAAACCGATTTTTTCGGGTCGGTTCGGTCTATTTTTTTGGTTTGGACCGAACCATGCTCAGCCCTAACGAGATTTATCTTATTTTTCTTTCAATTCAATGTTACTAATTTGTGCACAGATAATGTGGATGTATATGTTAGGGTTGTTTTCGGTGAAAGTCGCTGTTTTCATTGCTTTTGAATCTGTTACAACTTCAAACGTTACAACAAGAATCGATAAAAGGTCGGTCTTTTTATAAGACCTCCTCGTGCAACAAAACAAAGATTACAATTTTATCGAAAATAAACACGAGATCCCGTTTTGGTGCGGTCTCGCTTGCGTGGGTCTTTGGCCTGTGACGGGGATGTTGATATCCGTGGACCACCGGGGCAATCAGATCTGTTCCGGATAAATCGGACAGAGCTTCGTCGATCGGACAGAGCTTCGTCGATCCGCGTGAGATCTAGAAGCTATAAGCGTATACCTCGGCTAAAACGAGGTAATAGCTCTTCTTAGTATTAACGCTAAAGGCTAATACTAAGGAAAAAAAGGGGGGGGGGAACAGGTGATGAAGGCTGATGTAGACCTCTCCTCCTCGGTTGAAGCGCACAATCACTCTTTGCTGCAGCAGGGCTTCGCCAAGGCTCTCTAAAAATCCTCTCTCAAAAGTGAGGCACTAGGGGTCTATTTATAGGCATCTCAAGGCATGTAGGGGGGTGTAGAGGGGTCCAAGAGGTGTGGACACCCCTTGGTGTCTCAGCCATGGCCGAGACACCCTTGGGGTGTAGGCTTTTCCTAGACACCCCCGGGGTATTTCGGCGTGCCGGGACTCCGTTTGAGGTGTTTTCGATTGTTTCCCCGTAGATTCTTCGTCCGAACTCGGATTTGAGTGATT